GACAGGACAAGGGGCAACGGGCACCAACTGGAACCCAGGAGGTGCCACCTGAGCAGGAGGAGAAACTTCTTTGGGGTGAGGGTGGCCGAGCCTGGAGCAGCTGCCCAGAGAGGCTGTGGAGTCTCCTGCTCTGGAGAGATCCCAAACCCCCCTGGGCACCATCCTGGGCACCCTGCTGTGGGTGAGCTGCTGGAGCAGGGGGTGGGATGAGATGATCTCCAGAGGTCCCTCCCAACCCCACCCTGCTGGGGTTCTGTGCCTGTTAGATCCAGCCCATGACTACAGCCCTGCCACGTGGGGGAATGATGAGGCAGCAGGAAGAGGAAGAAGGGTCAGATACCCAATGTCACCATTGTGCCCCTAGAACCACAGGAGGCAGGTACCCTCCAAGGCAGGACACACAGGAGGGAGTTCATGCTATGGTGTCTGGGATAATCAGGGGAGAAGGACTGAGGAATGAGATCCTCTTTACTGCTGCCAAGAGCCAGCAATGACAGGCTGTTAATTCCAGTCAGGGAGAATAAGAAACTGTGCTGCTCACACTGTTGGATGGGGAATTTTGGCCCCACCAGAGCCAGGATAAACCTGCAGTAACTCTCAGCCACACTTCTAAGAACTTAATGTAGTTTCCTCTTATTGATTCTTGAGGTGACAAATTTATGAGGTTTTAAACAGTTGGAGAGCAAACTGATCTTCTCTATTTGATCATTCTGATCTCATGATTTGCCCAGTAAACTCTGGAGAAGCCACAGGTATGAAAGGAAAACCAAGAGATCAATGTGGAAGGAAAATCACTTCTGCCTTCTCTTTTTTTGTTTGTTTCTTGTTCCTTTGAGCATAAAGATCAATCTCAAACCAGGAAATGCTTAAGGCTCCAAAAGGATCTTTTAAGACTAAGGTCTTTTTAGTGTTATGCTTGGTTAAAGACAAGGTTTAGGTGCTCATTCCCCTTTATCTGGCATTGTGAATGACTTTGATTTTGTGGTTAAATTAACTCACCTCTGGCTGCTTTGACATTAAACCTCAGCCTCCGTAACGATTCTTCAGTATCAAAATTGCACTTCACCAGTTCATACAATGCCTGCAGAGGTGAGAAGAGCCACATTTAACATTCCCCATTTTGTGCCACAGCAGCATAGTTAGGAAATCACTGATACCTAAGAAGAAAATATTCAAAAGAAGCTCTCTGAATGGCTGTAGTATCATTTAAGGCAACAGCAAGAGGTATTTCCTCTGTTCACATTTCCAAATCTCTCATTATAGAACCAAGGCAAGGTGTTTAAACACTTTCATTCCCTGCATAAGCCTGTAAAATTGATGGGTTTTTTGGGATGAAGAAAAAAATATGCATCCCTATAGCTTTAGAAAAATCTGTAACTGAAACAACTCGTTAATAGATAATTATTTATATGTAAAATATAGAAAAATCTGTAACTGAAAGAGCAGAACTGATTCCTGCACAATTGTTTGTACAGAAAATAATGCAGGGGTGCATAAAGCAAGCTTTTAAAGTCTCCTGTTTGTTGAGAGGTAAAAAAATCCATCACATTTCTATTTCCACAAGGAGTAATAAAGCTGTTTGAAACACAATTTTAACTCTTGGGAGTAAAATCAAATAAATAAAGGATAATTCATTCTGTAACCTTGAGCAGCCTGCTCTAGGAAGAGATCTCCCTGTCTATGGAAGGGTTGGATCTAGATGATCTTGAAGGTGCCTTCCAACCCATTCTGGGATTCTCTAATTAAGCTACAAATGCTAATTATTCTGACCTACCTGCTCATTGTCTTTGATGTGTGACCCTTCAGGAATTGCATCCAGGCCTTTCTCATCCCCCGTGCGCCTCGATGCCTCGTTTAGGAACTCGACCACTTTATCTTCTGGTAAGAAGTCAGGGTTCCACAGCAGCTGGTCATCATTTTCATACACTGGATTAAAAACAGGGAAAAGGACAAGCAAGATGAAGTAAAAACACAGAAGTTTAGCCCTTGGAAGATCATGAGAACATCCACAGGAATTCACAACGCACAAAGAACAGCTCAGAGATGGTCTCATGAATCATGGAAGGGTTTGGGTGGAAGGGACCTTCAAGATCATCCAGTTCCACCCCCCTGCCATGGGCAGGGACACCTCCCACTAGATCAGGTTGCTCCAAGCCCCATCCAGCCTGGCCTTGAACACCTCCAGGGATGGAGCATCCACAGCTTCCCTGGGCCAGATTGCTGATTTCAATACTACCAAATCTCTCCTGGTTTTTTTCAGAGCTTTTACATGAGCAGCCAGACTGAGCTGAAATTAATGATAGAAACGTGGCCAAATGATATATCCTCTGAATTATCTCAGTTTTGTGTTTTTGGAGGTGTCTAGAAGCCTCACCACAGGATTAACATACTAGGACAGCAAACTAAAGCATAATTCAGGTTATTTAAAAAAACCCTAGAATCAGGAATGTATCCAGACTTTGCTTGTGGCTCAGTCTTCAGGGAAAGATAAACTTCAAAAAAATCCAGCAAGAAAGTAACTTGAACATTGGTTCCACCAGCTTGGTGAGCCCCTCTGACTAGAGAGAGGGGGAAACACTTGGGAAAAAAATTATTTTTAATATGAAATAGTGGATTCCAAATAAGAAAATGAAAATTAGGAGTCTTGTGAAGAATGAGAGCTTCATTTCACAAAAAACACACTCTTTGGAAACAGCTTCTTTGTGTTTCAAAGGTTAAGGGTTCATGCTTCCCTGCAAGGGTTGCCCAGGGCTGTGCCAGGCTGCCCAGGGCAGTGGTGGAGTCCCCACCCCTGGAGGGGTTTCCAAGCTGTGGAGATGTGGGGTGAGGGACACGGGGCAGTGGGGACCTGGGGGATGGTTGGACTCCATCTTGAAGGTCTCTTCCAACCAGAATGGTTCTAAGATTCTAATCAGATGTTTGGCTGCTCATTTAAGAAAAAGATCCTGAGTATCTGAAAACATTTTTTTTAAAATTTTAAAATTTTTATCACCTGAAATGCTTTAGCAGCAGCTAATTTAATCTCTAGGCATTCTCCTCCACAAGCTGGTCCACTGTAATTAGCTCAGTGGAGATCAGAGGGTGGCTCTTTCCCCACAGCAGCAGGTCAGAGCACGTTCTGAGGAGCTGGGTGACTCCTCTGCAGGGTTCCAGCATTTCTGTGCTCTTGCTTACAGGCCTGGATCTGAAAGGACTGAAACCTTTCTGTCTGGGAGCTTTACAATCAGAATTTCCCCTTCAGGAGAGAACAACTAAGATGCTGGGATAGGTACTAAACACACATTGATTTTTCAGCTTTTTTTTCCCCCCATTAATATTCCACTTGGAGCCCTATCCAAGATTACACCCAGAACACAGCAGAAAGGTAAGAACTGACAGAAGATCTAAACCCCCACTGGTCTATAAACACAGAAGAGCTCCAGCAGGATGAGTGAAAGTTTAACTTCTCCCCTCACTGGTTTCTATAGGTTAATGCCATGCATAAAGCAGCTCAATCTTTTTTATTACTGGAGGCCAGAAGCTGTCTGGAGCTGAGTAAACAGGAGAAAAAAAAAAGCAGGTGATCAGGAAAGCAAAATTTACTGCATCTTGGGCAAATACAGAGTTCAAGCTCTATTTTCAGCCAGAAGCAGGCAAGTGTGCCATTTCTTCACAGCTAAAAAGCAGATGTTGGCTAATTTGCCACTTTCTGGTTCTAATGGAAGCTCCTGACTTCTCCCATCCTTTTAGATTACACTCTCTTCAACCCCTCTGGCCACAGAATCCAGAGCTGACAGCACGTGCCAGCTCCAGGGTGAGCTTGCTCTAAGTCACAGCAGGACTGATGCTCTTTTTAGGCAGTTTCTAGCTCTTTTTGAACAGCTTCTAGCTCTTTTTGAACAGTTTCTAGCTCTTTTTGAACAGTTTCTAGTTAGATCAGGCTGCCACTTGAGTCTAGACTTAGATTTTTAGGAAGGCACTGAGTTTTCTGCTGGTTGGTTTAAAAACTAACATATAAAACTACAAAAAAAGGCAGCCTCAAAGTGACCTGTAGTCTAAAAAAATTCTTAGCACTGGGCTGATGGAGCACAAAAATTTACTTCTTTTGACTGGTGGCTCTGTTTAAACTATCTTTATTTTGCAGGACACCTTGACATCAATCAAATCTTTTCTCTCTCCCTGTTGGAAAAGGATCTTAAACATCATGACAATGGTAATTGTGCTGTCTCACCTTTTTCATTCTCTTTGTATTTGCACGTGCCAGCTGGAATTTCAGCTTGAAACATAGAGCCCACCATGATTTCCTGTTTTGTAAGAAAGGAAACAAGAAGTTGAGCAACCACAGCCATGAGGGTTTTGGTTTTGTCAGCAAACAAGAGAAGGACCATATGTTGTTTTTACCCCTTAAAACTTTCATTGTTCAAAAACCAGAAAAAAAAAAAATCCCAGCTAATAGGCACTATATGGGAATGGATTTTTGACTGTTTGGGGAGGTCTTGAACTCTTTGTAGTATCAAAACTCTCTCATTTATGGGGAGGATTTGGGTGATTTACAGAGCTCAGAGTAGCAGATCAACTCATCATTCCTTTCACACAGGCTTTTTGAACAGTATTTACCTTTTTCCAGTCTTCTGAGGGGATGTAATCTTCATCTTCTTCAGACTCCTCTTCTATTTCACTGTCTACAAAGAACAGTTCAAACATTGATACAAAAATGAGCTGTGGCAGAAGGGGGCCAGCTCCTGGGAGCACCCCAGAGATGGGGGACAGAAATGAATGAACCCAGGCAGCAATTTCACTGCTCACTCATTAAAACCTCCTTTCCCTCGCCCAGCTTGGAAGCAGTTGAGATGATCCTCATTCCAAATTTAGTACAAACAGCTCCTTTCTGCAGGTATTTTTAGGTGGATTTTCAAGCCTCCACGTGTGGATTTTAACACCAAGAAGCTCCTGGTTCACTTACTGCTGTTCTTTTTCCCTTCCAGCAGCTGTCACTGAATTTAAGGTGGATGACTGCACGAGAGGTGACCAATCTCCAAGTGGGCTTTCCTCAGCCTTCCTGGGATTTTGCAGTCTTGGATGGACCCCTCAGAGAGGCACAGCAGCATTTCAAATAAATAGATTCTTTCAGATCAGGACCAACAACATTTTAAGCTCTTTAGGACACAGGTTCATTGCCTTGCACTGAAAGCAGCTGCAGAGTTTGGTTTATGTAGAGCACGTGGGGATAGCAGCACTAAAATTATCTGTCCATTAAATCACACTCTATACACAGCTGAATATTGTAAAAAGCCCCCAAAACTAATGCAATCCCACCTGTATTACAATAATACTGTGTTTAAAAAGCAGCAGATATTTGCATTCCTCTGCACAGCTGCCTGCTGAGGTTTCTTGGCATTTTTGGATTAAACTGTGGGTAAGAAAATTGCACTTCTGCAACATCACAGCTCATAAGTATCAAGTATAAGGTGTCATAAGGAATCTTGCTTTATTTTTGTTGGAAGAGTAGGAATTAAAACATCAGTGATGTTCACTTTCATCAAGGAAAGGGGAAATTTGTTGTCCAAATGGCCCTGCTGAGAGCTGAACCCTGAGAGGCTTGAACTCCCACCTAAAAGTATCTTCAAAAATAGCTGTTTGCACTAAATTTGGATTAAGACTGCCACAGAAATCAGAGCTGTCTAAAGGGACAGCCACAGAACACCAGCTCAACAGTCTCAACTGGGTGCAACCCCAAATTTAAAGAAAAAAAGAAGGAAAATGCTCCATCTACAACACTGGCAATGGTATCAAGAGTGGAATTCTTGAAGCAAACTTTCTTCATCATTCTCTCCCCCTTCATTATTGTGCTGTGCAGCCATTATCTACTTGGAACAGCACATTTCCCACTTGAAAAAGATTTTAACCTCTGTCCTTGTGTGAACTGGCTGCTGAAGCTACAATGGTGAAGGAACACCAGATTCTAACAGGCTTCTACTGCACCCAGACTTCATGTGGAAGAAAATCTTCCTGAAACCAGTTTGCAGGAGGATAAACTGGTTTGCTGCTGTGCTCAGAGGAGGGGTCAGGGATGGATTTACACTGTGTGAGAGCCTGATTTTTCAAAGTTCTACTAATTTCATTGTTTTCCCACAAATTTGATAGTTTCTCTTAAAAGAGGAAATAGCTACTGTCATTACCCAGCCTCAGATGTGGCATTTGGCTACAAACAGGCCTTTTTTTTTGGCCTATTCTGAGCATTCTGATAACCAAGAGCAGTGTTATGAAAGAGAACAAACCTTTCTAGGTATCACCACACACATTTCAGAAAGAAACCACCAAATTAACTAGTCCAAAGGTCCAGCCCATGGAGATCACTGTGCTCAGCACCAAACTGCACATACTTGTGTCAAAATATTTACATCGACGAGGGCGAATCATCTCCTGGGGGTCTTGAGAAGCAACAGATGGGGCTGGGTCATCATTGGAGGACTGTGTCTCATCCTCTTGACCTGATGAATCTTTTATGGTCTCCTCCTTAAAGATAAGAAAGCAAACAGGAGGATCAGTTACCCCTCGTATGGGATTAACACTCTCTTTTTGGCAGTATTTTGCCCAAAATTGTCAGGACAGTCAAAAAAAAGTGACTGTGTAGGTTGTGGCCTCTCTAGATGGAGCCACAAGAAATGTGTTAAGCCCAGCATATGATTTATCCACCAGGATTTTAAGCAGATCAATTTAACAGTCTAAAATCCTTGTGGTTTTCACAGCATTTCGTTTAAATTTTACTTTGGTCTTTAAATCTCTTCCCAAGGAATCCTCAGGAAAAGGGAAGAAATTATTTATTGGCTATGCTTCTCAATCAAATGGAAATGGCACCTCCCAGAAAAATGGATGTCAAGAGTGTGGTTCAACCCCACAGGAGCAGCAGACTCCAGCATGCCCACTGAGTCATTAAAAGAGTGAAAATTAGAACAACTGTCTTTATTAGGAGATAAATCACACTAATTATGGGAATCATTATGATGAATTAAAATTAAAATGAGAAAGGTTAAAAAAAAAAAGGGTGTTTTCTATCTCAATGCACATTGTCAATATATTTTGTGTGTTTTAGGGCAAGCACTCCTACTTGCTAGTTCTGAGAGAGAAGCATGAGGCACAGCACATGTTTACGTGCACCTTTACCAGCAACCAGAGTGTTATCACATGTGCAGCTTAAAGCAGATTAAAAATAGAAAACAGCTAAGTGCAGCAGAGCTAAATAAGCTGTAGAAAGATGAGCACTTGCAGAGAAAGCCTGAATGATTTATACAACGATTCCACCCCCACAGATGTGTTTTGCTGCCTCTCTGCTAAGAGCACGAGAGTGTTTCAGAGCTCTCATCCCTCTACCCTGAGGCAAAGCCTCCTAAAGAGGTTAGAGATTGCTTTGTGCCCAGAGAAATGCCTCTACTCTACCCAAATTGGGCTAAAATAGGTGAATGAGTACTTCTAAGTGAAGCACTGGCTCTGTTTACTTCCTCTGTGGTGGTGATCCAACCACACTGGCTGCTGCAGCACGCTCCAAAGGGTCAGTGTCCTGCAGAGGCACCAAGAGGACTCATCCTGCTGCTAAGAGCAGTGGCAGGCACTGAGATTTTCTCTCTTTATTTAAGCAGCAGCTTAAATCAGCTGCAAACACACAACCAGGGAGCTTCAGAGGAGCTCAGGAGAACACACCAGATGGAAGTTGTGTCAGGGAGTCATGAAGAAGGAGACAAGAAGAAAGTGAGACTTGAGGAACACCACCCTGCACAACAAAATAAAACACTTGTGTGCCTCCTCTGAATTTTGGGTACTGCATGTTATGCAAGTTTCTCCCCCTCTCCAGCTTCTGGAACCATCTCTGAGGTAACCTAACTACATCTCTCCCTCCTTTCAGAATTGTTCAGCCCATCCAAAGAGCCATTTTTTACAGCACCTGTCAAAGGAGTTGGTAAACCCCAAGAAATTCATTTTCTGAATCAGAAATACTGTTCCTCATCCCTGTGTCACATTCCAGAGATTCTAAAATGGGTAAGATATTAAAAAAAACCAAACTCAAATGCACCCTTTTTAAAGCCAGATGAGGCAATGCAGCTTAGGTAATGCCTAAGCTTTTTTGTGACTGACAATACCAAGGGCTTCATATTTTAATGACATTCAGGCTGCCACCAGTAAAGGAGAAGTTACAGCCATGCCCATGACAACACAGGACTCACACAAATATGTATGACATACACAAGTAGAAAAGACCCTTGTAAAATCCTCAAAATTCTTTTAAGAGCACAGAGAGCAGGATTGTCAAGATTTTCATTTTGCAAAGACACTCAAAGCCTCAGACTCAGTTCATAAGCTCAGCATGAGGAGGGCTGCCAGGCTGAAAAAAAACCCCCACAATTTAAAATGCTAAAGGGAGAAAACTTGCAGCAATCTCACACTTGGCTCTTCAGCTCCAAACAAATATTCAGCCATGTGGATAAAGGTGTCTTCAGGCATTTAAACCTTCACTTCTGAAGTCAGACTATCTCTGAAGGACAATTACAATCCTTTCCTATGTGATGCTATAGGCAGGGCCTCTGATTCGCCTCAGCAACAGTTTGGGATGATACAGGAGGAAATGAAGAGAGACATGAGAGATGCAGGTGGGTAATTAAGGATCAATATTAGGGTTCAGTACATGAAGCCTCTGAAATCAGCCATGATCATCCTGAGTGTTGCCCAACACCTGATGATTGTGTGAAAATCAGCTCAGATGGCTGCAAACACTCACTTTGTTTTCCCCGCTACAGCCGCTGTTGTCGTCGTTATCCACGTCATCATCATCTTCTCCATCCTCCTCTTCCTCCTCGTCCTCTTCATCCTCCTCATCCTCCTGCAGAGGGACGGTCCCGTCGTAGCCGTAGCGGCTCAGCAGCTCCTGGATGGGCATGTCACTCTCCTGCCAATCAATCACCCAGAGGGGCACATTTCAGCCCGGGCATTCCACATCCCACCCCTGCTCCACACCTTCCAACACCACTCAGGGAAAGCAGACAGACAATGGCCACTCCAAACCTATTCCAGGGATGTGGCACCCTCAGACTGAAGAACCTTTTCCTAACATCTAACCTGAATCTGCCCTTTTCTAGCTCAAAGCCATCACCCCTCATCCTGTCCCTCCAAACCCTTGTGAATAGTTCCTCCCCTGCTTTCCTGTAGCCCCTCTCAGGGACTGGAAGCTCCAGGACACTTCCCAATCCCTTATGGATTTCCAGGAGATCTCAGGTACCAGCCGTCTCTCCAAGGGGCCATAAAGCTCCTTCAAAGGGCAGCATGTCCCATCCCTCCCTTGGCACCTTCTCCAATGTTGTTCTACCACACCCAAACCCAGGTTACACCTGGTTACATCACAACTCTTCAATACCCAGAGCAAACACACTCCTGGGTGGAATCTACGTGGCCATTCCCTTCACTGCCCAAAAACTAGCTGAAAAAACAGCATTATTTTGTACACATTTGTGGGAAAAAAAAAGCAGATAAATGTGTGTGTGGAGCAACTGCTCCACACCAACAGCTGAGACAGGGACAGTTTTTGCAGGCAGGCATCTGTCCCAGAGCAAGGCAGTGATTTCTACAGCATCCCCCAAGGATTCAGCAGAGTGAGGACCAGAAGTTGCAGCACCTGGCTTGAACATGGAATGAAATCTTGGTTTTGAAGAACAAAGGACACTAAAAATGCACCTCTCAGTCTCTGTAGCTCTCCCCCCCTTCCTGGGCCAAACAGAAAATGAGGGGTGGGATGGGGTGAAGGATCACCTGATATTCAGGATCACCTGATATCCAGGTAAAGACAATAGGAAGACTTCTAGATTTATACATATTTTAAGCTAGTTGTCTACAAAACCAGCCACAGTTGGAAGGAAACCTGCTAAAATATGTGCACTTTAAAAGAAAGTTGTATTTAGAATGCTGGCCCACTCTGTAAAGATGGTTCCAATGAGAGAGTCAGTTCTCAAATGTAGTGGCTCCCAAACTGTTAGCAATTTCATCCACTTTGTTAATAAAAATTATTAATTGCTGGGTCTGAAAGAATCACTTTATTACTTTTAATACCTCAGTATCAGCCTTCAGGGGCAGTACATGGCATCCCAAAGGAGATTTTTCAGAGCAGAAGCTTTCAGAGAGCATTTTAAAACGATCTCTCTCACCAGATCAAATCCTCTGGTTATTATTTGGAGGTGTCTGTTTGCTCTAAATATTGCTTTTTAGTCTAGAATGTACTCTCTGTTGATAATCAGGGTTTTTTGAGCTATCAGCTGACCTCCAGTGCATTCCCTAAGCTATTCTACCTTTTGTTTTGCTCTTTGGTCAAGTTATATACACAGTAGATGCAGACCATACACACCTAAATGTTCTCAACTTCCCTCTTGGCTTCTTGGTCCTTAATATATCTTTTTATGTCAATAACTCCTAGAAGTGGGGAAATTAATGTTTTATTGACACAACCAGCACCACAGGACTGTGATCTTAATTAAAACCTGACAGCTATCAGAAAAGTCCTATTCATAACTGGCCAAACAAAGGTTCTCCAGTAGCTTTTGGAGAAGAATATCCTTTTATCAAGCACTCCTCACCACTGCCCCATAGGTGGAGATTGAGAATTGAAAAGAACTTTTCCTGCCATTCATAGCTGTGTGTGAACTCTGTAATGGGTGTTATCCCTCAGTTTGTGTCACCTAGGAAAGTGGGATTGCATTTACAACACTTTTTTTTAGGCAGAGCCTCTCAACTTCAAATAGTCCATTCCAATTCACAAAGCTCCAAGGGGCAGCAACTCTCCAAAAAAAAAACAAAACTCCAAATTGTGATTTCTTGCATTGCTTCAGGACGTTGCAAAAATTAGGAAAGGTTAAAAAAGTAACAAGGCTTGTCAAAGAGGTAGAAATTTCTCACATGGAAGGTGTTTCCTGAGAAGAAATGGATTCTATGTCATGGATCTGGTCTAGAGGGGGTGACAGAACAGAGGAAGAGCAGAAGCAGCATGGAGAAGGGAAATATTAAAGACAGCACACTCCTGTGATTGAGGAGCTGAGGGGCAACCACTGAAAGGACCACACAACAAACAGGTCTAAAAACCCAAACAGATGCCCCACGGACACCATGTTGACAAGAGGTTAAAAATGAAATAAAAAAAGGAAAAATAAGGCTGACAGGCATTACAAGACAACATTTTTTTCCCTAC